AGTCTAAACTGACATCAGTTCAACTATATATATATATATATATATATATATATATATATATATATATATATATATATATATTTTAAATAAAAACAGACAACATAAGTTTCCATGTAATAAATTATTTCACCACAGCCCTTTTAAAAGGACTGCGGATCGTCAGATTTTACTTCCAAACAAAAAATAAAGAGAAAATTTACACATTGTGTGTGTGTGTGTGTGACAAATTGACGCAGATTCGCAAGACTCGAGTCGAATAATTAAAAAAAAAAAACAGTCATTTCCGGCAATAATGCCACTAGGACGCCAGTGGTTTACTGAGTGTTAGTGAATATGATAAAAACTGCTATTAATTAGAAGAAAATACAAGAAGAAGAATTAAGACAGAAGATAACGATAGATATTGCATTTAAATTTTTGAAGATCTCTGTAGAAAATGCTAACCATTAATTTTCGAGTTAATGTCGCGTCTCAAAGGCGAGAAACATTTCTGTCAATGAAAGAAATGTTTTTCTAATCATTACACTCCAAGCAAGAATATAAAATCCACTACATTGCAAAGGCGACGCAAACAGTGAAAGAAACTGAGATGGAACAATTAAAGAATAGGTTCACGAAAGATTGATGCGGCATTCAATTTTTTTGAAGAACGTAGTTGATCGGAAAGCAAGAAGTTCGATGAAACATTCGGAAGCGAAAATCCGGGCGAAGAAAGTATTATTGTAGAACTTAGAGTTAAAATTTCAGCCATAAAATAATGGGACCTAACTGGTGATCTAGAAATAGACTTCATAATGTCTAGGTAAAAATGAGGAAAATTCATCAGAACAATTACCATGAAAATATTACATATATTTTCGTCAACTTCAGTCGATTTTGCGTAATGAGCAGAAATATTTATTAATCGAGGAATTTCTCGGTTAAATATATTCCATAGATAAAAATAAAAAAATAAATCCCATCTGAATATAAAACAAGGCGTTTTTGCTATGATCAAATGTTTGGCATCATATCACATACATATTAAGGAGCATTGGAATTTTCATGGAGTGTTCTTTATACATATTTAAAACCCCGTGCCAAATTTAAAGCTGTTGGGTCGAAGTTTAGTCTGCAGCATTTGCGAATCAATTTTACAAATCTACTTTTGTTGGTGAAGCCTAAAGTATATTGTACAAATATACAGTTTTTGCATTTACTTTTGTTTAGGTACTAAATTTTTCTCATTTCTTATCAAGTTAACTTATTTATTTCGTGTAGGATTTGTAAAGGAGTTATTACAGGTGTTGTTGATGATGACATGGCTGCTATTGAGCCAGGTCCTTTTTGCGTTTTCAAGGTGGAATAATTTATGAATCCACAGACCGTATGTAACAACATCAAAAACCAGTCATGAGCTGAAAAAATCGTCACTACAATTATAAAGTTTAGCGCTCCAATGTGGTTCTACATGAAAATGCACCTTTGCGTAACACGTCTCAAGGAAAGTATTCAAATCCCTGTTATATATGAAAAAGCTGAATAGTTAGAAGACTATAGTGAAGAAGATTGTACAGAGAAAAGCATACTTCGCCCACACAGATCAACTTTTGGTACACATGACACAGTGGATAAAGGCGTTAGTTAGATCCAGTGACAGGACACAAAGAGTGTGAGTTCAATACCCGGTTAAGGCAGTGCAGAACATTCAGAGGGAAATTAACAGATAACTGATAACTGACATGCATTAAACATGGCACGTGGAACTAGAACAGTCTACCCCATTGAGCGAAATAAAGGGTTCACTTCGCCATTCCAACCACTTGAATAAAGCCGCGGCGTACAACGGCCGAAACGTTGTAATAAATATGGCGACAAAGATGAGTACAATAGTCTGAATAATGTAAATACTGTATATAATAAATATATTTTCAAATTTTTCTCGTACTGAATTGTCTTTTTGCTATAAAAATGTATTGTTTGTCATTTTATTAGAAAAATACAATATTGATTTTTGTTTGAAGCTTCACTATTTATCCATAGCTGGGACCCTAGTATGTGCTACCACTCCGGGTGAAGATGGACCTCCGTCCTGGGTATGACGATAAACTACATCCGCGTCCTGGCTAAGACGACAAACTACATCCGACAGCAAGATCTTTGATTAGAAGGTTTTGAGGAGCGTGAAGCCACCTCTTAATTGCTAGGGGTGATAGCACATGTCAGGGTCCCTGCTATGGACAAATAGTTACCCCCGCCCCAAAAAGTGGTTAAAACACTATGAAAGTATAAAAATCGGTTTTAAAACCAGCAATACTTTTTTTAAAAAAATTACCAGCAGTACATTTTTGGGAAACAATATTACCAGTGATAGATTTCTGAAAAAAATAAAAATATTAACAATAACATATTTCAGAAAAAAAAATTATCAGCAATACATTTTTGAAAAAAAAATTACCAGGAATACATTTTTGAAAAAGATTTTTACCAGGAATACATTTTTGGAAAAAAGATATTGACAGAAATATATCTTTTAAAAAACATATTGCTATCAATACATTTTTGAAAAAAAAACAAAAAAAAAAACATTACCAACAATACATTTTTGAAAAAAAAAATATTACAAGTAATAAAAATATTGTCGGTATTAAATAACCCATTGAGGTTGATATTCTGTAAAACAAAACAAGATGGATATAGGTGTAATGACAAAAGTGTGCAGGTGTAGGCTTTAAAAATACTTTATACAACTGAGAATACAAGGTTCGCGTATAGTGTAATTCTATAGTCTCAGTCAACAGAAATAGCTCTCTCAAAGAGGAGAGTAACAAAACAAGGGGAGACTACTCTTGATTATTTATAACATTGGGAACAACAGCCATTACGATGTTATTTCACGCTTCTGAACGCCTCCAATTTCCCCATCAGATGCCTTGCTGTTGGATATAGTTTATCATCGTACCCAGGACGCGTGTAATAGGGACAATTGAGGATGTGTGAATAGTTATGCATACTGGCCTTGTTACAAGTGCGGATCCTTCTAGATTATGCGTACTCTCCCAGAAACTATAGATAAGATAAACTCTATATAGTTGCAGTATAAACCATAGGTTGTCAGGTTGTCTGGGCAGGGGTCTACATCTGGCATTAAATAACCGCTCTAGCAGGCAGGTATAATCGGATACTATTAACTTTTCATACATCATATAACAATCTATAATTATAGATAGGTGGTAGTACTATTATTTGAAGAAAGGGACAGAAAGTATTACTTGAAACATTTACCATCAAAATAGTGATCTCTTTCTTTATGGCTATATCACGTTGAAAAATATAATTTAAATCTTCCTGCGGTCTCTGCTATATATTATTTATGGAACACATTACAGATTATATAGTATATTCCTGATTTAATTTTAACTTATTATTATTAGTTAAGTCTCTTGTTGTTTAAAAAGTCAGACTAACAGTAGTTATATGGTAGTAGCTTAAGGTACGAGTTTAATTCGTTCCAAGACTGAGTTAGTAAATTAAAACGCTCGTATCGCAAATCAGTTTTCCCAACTGAAATTAATGGGAATATTTCCGATCCGTTCAAAGCCCCTAAAAATCACCCTTATTTTCGTAAAGTAGCCCCTGTTTTTGTATTTGTGGGTTTCTTACAAGCAAAAACGTGAAAAAAAATGTAATTAAACAGTAAAATAAAAGCAAAAATAAATTGTAAATAAATTAGCTGTACTAAACCATGTAGTTCAGACAAGTCATAGGCCAACTAGCTTAAGAGAGAGAGAGATAGACAGCAAGAGACAGAGAGAGAGAAAGAGAGAGATAACAACAGCTAGCCTAGCAACCGTTAACCTATCCTAGCAACGGTTAGCCTAGTCTTCCACAACGAAGGTTAAGTTTGTCATTTAATTTTTAAAGTTTTAAAACATTTCCATTTTATGCATTACTGTAAATATATTTTTAAAAATTTTCTTTTTTTTTATTTATCGTCGATGTAGAACGCTGTCTCGTCCAATCCATTACGCGAACGTCTTCCTTGTGATTTTTTAAAATATTTTCCCGTTTTATCTTAAATAAAACCATACGTTTTGGTTTTTCACAACTATCTCTTTAATCTTACTTTCTTCAAACCGATGGTGTTAGTAAAGGAATTTTGCAAAATAACGGCAAAAAATAGACACAACACAACAAGAATCCTTCTAGAACGAGTTGAGCACGTTTACTACGAGTGGAGATACTCTTGAAGTTTGGCCTTTGCTGCGCCAACTGACAGATGCTTAACTGAATCTCACTCGTATCTCAAGACAAAATATATCGGATGACATCCAGCTCGTATCTTAAAAAGGCTCGTATGTCGGTACGCTCGTAACTCAATACTACATTACTCTATTATCTTATATAAATTATCTTCAATTGTAGGTTGTGTAATTTATCTTGTTATGTCTGTATGGATTTGTTTATGTCACTGGCTAGTTAATATAGTAAATTAACATGTATGCATATTTTACCGGCTGCAGGGTCTTGCATGTAGCAAGGTTTCCTTGACTGTATGAACAGCAAGGGCGGAGAAATCAATTCCCGGAAGGAATCAATAACTACATGATCAAGACGAAGTTGGTAAGCATCGGTTGTAGAAGTTTGGTCTCTGTCAAGTCTTTGCCTAAGATAAGTTGTGCATGAGTGAATACCTACTGATATATATATTGGGGAGGGATGGGCACCTCGATGTGCTGTAATGGTTAGCAAGCTTGTCTTGCTAGAACAATTACGCCTGAGTAGTGAGTTCGATCCTCACTGAGTGCCTCATACTTTCGGCCTTGTGCCACATCCGAGCTACGCTTGGAAAATCGCTAAATGGGGGAGGGAGCTGGTTATGCTCTTACCTGCGAAACAAACCCCTTTTATGGGACTGATATTGATGTATATATATATATGTATTCATGGAAACAAATGAACACTGCGATTTCCATAGAGAAAGTGAGATCTACGCAGTTTTTTCTTGTATGATGTTGGCTTACGGCCACCTTTTTCTTGAAACACCAGTCCTTGTACGATCACTGAAGTTAAGCAAAGTCGAGCATTTTAGTACCTAGATGGGTAACCGCATGGGAATACTAGTTGTTGTAAGTTTAAATGTGGTCCTAGTGTAATCGATAAAGGCTCTCAATTGTTAATCGGAGTTCCAAGTTCCGTTGTGTTCGTTTTATTCATTTACACGCAGACACTTGTGGTTTATCCCACTTGGCTTCCCCCAAACCCTCCAAAAATGCCTTCGTTAGGGGAAGTTCCTTAGGTCTATAAATAGGCAATAATATTCCCATTTTTCTTTCCTCTTTTCCTACTCTGGCTATAAGATGATGTAGTCGAATGTGAGAAAAAAGTACCCCCCCTGGGGAACTTACATATTCAATATCTTAGTTTCCTTAAATGGGATTTTGTGTACTCTTTCACACACGTCTCTATCTGGTAGACCTACACAAGCTTCACGCACACAAATATACATTCTCCAATTTAAACGCTTTATGAAACTAGTCTTTAAATGTATTTATCGTTTATTGTTATTCTAACACTTTTGTTAATAAATGTATTGTCGATTATTTTATATACTTTTCTGTGTCCCCGCTTATTACCCTGGCTCACATTCGAGTCTGCAATCATTTTTACACAAAAAGTAATACAAAGTAACACGTGTTTTCTATATACTGTACTTCCCCTTGCATAATACGTCTTCATCCATAATACGCACACCTAAAATTGTGCTGGAATTGTGGGAAGATGCTTCTACTCACGCATGATATACACACTTTGTTTGGCGTCTCCAATTTCATAACGGCTAGCGTTTCCTACTATTATTAAAAATGGTATTAAACATAGAATAATATAATTGACATCATTATGGGGTCGCAATCGCCGAATGTTAGTGTCAAATTGTCGTATATTTGTGGTGAGTAGTCATTTCGCAACAGAAATCGTCCTATGAAACGGCAATTTTCTAAAGATGATTTTGTAGCTGTGCATAATACGCACCTCTAATTTTGCTTATTATGTCTTAGAAAAATTGCATGTTATTCATGGTGAATTAAGGTAAATACAGCAAAAATTCCGGCAACATGCCCTTGGGAAAGGTATGTGTATCCACCTTTTATTCCACCAGCTATGGGTTAATTTGTAAGACTTGTACCACTAAACGATTATTATTTAAAAGAAATATTTCTTAAAGTCTAAATATATATTTTGTGTTTAAGTAGCCTGCAAAGGGTTGATAAGCCTTAAAAAACGAATCCGTCAAAACTTGGTTTCTTAGTCAGACCCAAGTTATTGTTAGCTATGAGAAATGTGCAACTCCTTTAACTACAAGTCGTGCACTTCCCTAAAGAGCATCGTTTTATTATTTTTTTTTCTCATAATAATAATGAATTCTTAGATGCAAGCACATGGACGCAGGTATTACGTGTCCGTACGCATGCAGCTGCTGACGGAAAATATTGCTTCGCCATTACTTTTATCACATTATGGATAATAACATTTGAGATGTTGTTCTTCTTGAGTTTACGTTATTTTTTTTTAGATTGGAACAGCTATAAATGATTGACACGCACCCCCACACATACATATATAATATTCTTACAAAATATATTTAAAAACTTGTAATAAAATAAATAATATTATACCTAAAATTAATGACACTAGAAAAGTCTATAGAGACAAATTACATTTTATCATGTTAGATAATTGAATGATAAGATAGAAATTACCTATTACCAATTACCTAAGTTTGTTCTGATATATAGAACTTTATATAGAACTTTATATAGAAATTTATATATCATATCCGCATATTTTCACATATATAGATTATATTACATAATATATATTAATATATGAATACTTACCTAATTTCAGAAAAATCTAATTTAGCGATTCCATATGACGCTATAACATATTGCAGGGAATACAGAGCAATTTAATAAATAAAGAAACGGAATCTGTGGAAAGCCATGATTGAATACGTCCTGATGAATTTGGTATAAAAAGGAATATTTTTCAGAAAAAAAATTGTACTTGATAGAATTTATCTTCAGATCGGAGAGGAACTACCTACTCATCATGAAAATCAGAATTTTATCATAAGTTCCGACAAACATATTATCATCATTATTTGTGCTGTTTCGACTGAGAATTACGTGTGATTTCTCATCTTCAGAATGTTTACTCTTTTCGGAGTATGCCCATCTGGTTAGTCCCATCGGTGCTGCTTCAACATCATTAGGCCAAACCATGGTTTCTTATGCACCTATGGTAAACGGATCTTAGTTACAATTTAAGTGCATGCGTCTCCTGGGGTCACGCGGGATTAAGGCTCAGAGGCTCGGATTAGAAAGATTGGAGAGCAGAGTTTGAATTCCAGTCGAGTTCATTATATTCACATATGTGTTAATACTCTTAGAAAAGGTATGAATCTATCTCTTCTCCCTGAATCTATGGGTACAATAGCAGAGAAGAGTGGGTCCTATAACCTTATGTGGCAGCCAATCTAGGAAAAGGAAACTCTGAATTTAAACCAAAGCACACCACCTGCAACTTTGTAGGTCCTGCTTCTTTAGGCAAAGGCTAAAAGAAAGTAACTTCGAAAAGAAATCCACCTTGCATGTCTCGAACAAAGGAAGTACTACTCTTTATTTTTGGCGCCGTGTACCGCTCAGATTTCGGACCATTCTCCGACTTGTGCATCAGCCATGGACGACGAGGCGAATTGACTCTCCAGGGCCATGTATCCTTTTCAGAGTTATCCTTCTTTTAAATGTGTTACCAATTCCTTGAGAGAGAACTCTACCCTACTATTTAGCCTATAGCTGTTGGTGGAAGAAGGAAAAGTAATGCTTCCCCAAGTGTTTCGACGCGGAAATCTATGTATTTCTACAGGAATTTAAAATCGGCTTACCGGTTCCTTTTTTTTTAACGCTCACGACAGTTGGTTCGAAAAACAAGTGAAAATTAAATAACTTTTAGTGAAAGGGTAATAAAGTATTTTCATCAGCTTTCTTAAGTCTGCTACAAGGTGATAGGTATACGTCACTTAGTAAATATCGAAATCAGTATAGTAACTGTATTGAGTTAGTGTGGAGACCCTACATAGTTGCATTTCAGGAAATGTAAATTCAACTTATAATACGTTGAGTGAGAAATAATGTCTATTATTAATAAATTTTACTCACCTTCCCCACAAAAAAAGCACAATTCCATTTTATTCATATGTATATATATTTACCATTATTCTCAAAGATTTGACATCGGGTATCATGCAATAGTTCGATACTTTTGAATAAAATTCTGTCGGTTTTCACGTGAATAAGTCTCGGAACGTACTATTGTTTTCATTGAAGAAATTTCCCCATCACTGCATTTTGCAGCGATCAAAAATGGTAAGAATCGATTGGGGCTAGGTCAGGTAAACATTCGAACAAAAGAGATGAATCGAGTTCTTTTGCCAGTTGGAACCTCCCCCGCCCAGAGAATATGCTGTAGCAGGCAAGTTATTTCAGAATGGATTTGAAACCGAATTGTTTCACCTAATTTATAATCGTGAACTCTAAATTAGCGAGAGCTCCCTTCTCCAAACCTAGTGCTACAGCATCACAAACAGAGACGAGTATCAAATAGCAGGAACTCAGTACTTGATGACTTGCAACAACATCAACTACCAAAATAGGTAGCCCGTGTAACTCAAAGAGAATATAATGACGCAATTAGTTATACTCAATTCGACTTCAAAGAAAATGTTAGGAAGTAAGCAATAAAACTAATGCATCTACTTTAACAGTTAGTGCACTTGAGAAACCTATTTTCCTGAAAATTTGTATAAAGAATGAGATTTTATACATTGCAACCAACATTCTAAGTTCAGGGTAATGAATACCAAATGTTTCCTTATAAGGAAATGGCTAATATTACCATTAATATTGACAACCAAACCGTAGACAGGGAGATCTCTTACGAGTGAAAACTTGCTATGTTGGATTTATCTTTTAATATTTGAAAATTATTTCACAAATTATTTCTGGATAATGGTGACAATATCTGAAAAGTACTTTACAAAGCAAAGTTATTTGTCTTGCAAATCAAGATGTGGATTAGTTGATATTACAAAATTAAAAATTCGAAACATCAAGAGAGAAAATATTCTTTCAAAGAGATATTGATTTGGAAGGAAGAAGATACAATCGGCCATAACAGGAATATTCAGGAGAATAAAAGCAACTAGAATACTGTTATTAGAATAATATACAAAATATAAGAGTATGCTAAATTTGTAAGTCATCTATTCTAAAATCTAGTTATTCTTGTGGATGAATTTCACGCTAGTCAAGGCAATAAAGCCACTAAGACGCAAGGGGTTACTGTGTGTGGAAGAATTAGAAAGAGAAACATTACTTATTGCTGAGAACAAAACGAGTAATCAGGAGAACAGAATAAAACGATTGACATTGCATTTAAAATTTTGAAGATTAAAGTTAGTTGGAAAAGCATGCAGCCTGGAGGGAATTCCACATGCGAGAAGTGCGAGAGAACTGGGGGGGGGTCTAAACTATGTTACTATGCCTGAACAGTACCCAATACCACAATTTCGCGATTTCGCTATGGCGTTCAAATGCGATGCGAATTGTTATTTTCTGTCTTCTTAATTCTTGTTCTGTTCTCCTGAATAGTATATTTTCTCATATTCTGTAACAGTCAGTAACACCCTTGCGTCTTAGCAGCTTTATTGCTTTGCTTAGTGTTCAGTGAATTCTGAGTACATCTATGTTTTCATAACTCGGTTTAAGGCATGCTACAGATTCCCTGTTCGAGTGAAAGACATACTAAACTTACGTACCACAATTCTCTTCCCTCATTAACACTTTTCAGAGTGCCATCTTGGCTTCATTGCGTAACTTTTTTTCTTTCCTAAATGGACCGAATATATGCTCAGTGGTTTATAGTCCTGGGCATGACGATAAACTAAATACAGAAGTAAGACCTCTGATCGGGAGATTTGGAGGTTTTGTGGAGTTTGGAACCATCTCTTAAATATTGTTGTTCCTTAGTCCATCCTGACCCAGGTTGGTAGCACCTACTACGGTCCCAGC